CAGCCAGCAGGGTCCCTGTCCCTCTGCTACTGCACTCACCAGGCATTTGCTAGCTCCTTCTCCCCCTGCAGCCACAGCCCAGGACCACATCTGGTCAGCACAGCTATGTTTGGCATCCCTCAGCAGTGGCAGATCTTTTTAATCTTTTCTTACTCAGCTGTCTGACCCCCACACTGTCCATGAGATGAAAGTTCCAGAGGCTGAGGCTGCCTCCCAACCCAGCTGCCCCCATGGCTTGTTGTTTGTTGATTTAGTGGAGTTGTCCTGGAGGTGTTTGCATTTTACCCAGCCCAAACCTCTACCCCTGGAGGTCTTCTCTAGTTATTTTAGGAGGACAACTGTTTTGCCCCAACTTTTGTTTGTTTCTGCTGCTCTATGTTGGCTTTGAGGTGATGTTCTGTCTTTTTTTGTGGAGGAAATTTGGAGAGCCTGAGGTTTTCTGACCTACTCCACCATATTACCAGAATCCCCTCCCAGTCCAATAATTCTTAAATTATCCCTCTTTTGTTTATTTTCCAGATCAGTTGTTTTTCCAATGAGATATTTCATATTTTCTTCTATTTTTTCATTCTTTTTGTTTTATTGTTTCTTGATGTCTCATGGAGTCATTAGCTTCCACTTGACCAATTCTAATTTTTTAAAGAATTATTTTCTTCAGTGAGTTTTTGTATTTCTTTTTCCATTTGGCCAGTTCTGCTTTTTAAGGTATTATTTTCTTCAGTATTTTTGGTGCCTCTTTTACCAAGCTGTTAATTGCCTTTTCATAATTTTCTTGAATAGCTCTCATATCTTTTCCCAATTTTCCTCTATCATTTATTTTAATTTTAAAATAACTTTTCCAGGAATTCTTATTGGGCTTATATCAAATTCACATTTTTTTTTCCTTCGAGGCTTTGCTGATAGCTGTTTTGACATCATTGTCTTCTTCTAGATATGTGTCTGGATTTTCCCTGTCATCATCGTACCTCTTTATGGTCACATTCTTTTTTTTGATATTTGTTTATTTTTCCAGTCTATTTCTTGACTTTGAACTTTATGTTAAAGTTAGACTCTCTTTCTGGGAGTGGAGCCGGGGCGGGGGCATCATCCCAAGCTTCAGACTTTTTTGCCCTGCTGTTTTCAGAGCTTGTTCTGGGATTCAAGGTGGTGTGATCTAGGGAGAAGTATAGTTACTGCTCCCCTCATCTAAGCTCTGTTCCTTACCCAGGAAGGGTAAGGTTCCTGATCCCTTGCAGCCACAAGCACTCCTCCTCCTCAGGGCCCCTGCTCCCTTGTGACTGAAAGCTTTCCTGTCCACCTGGAACTAAGTGGATACAGGCAATGGAGTTACCAAACAGCACCTATGTCCTGCTCCCAGTGTTGGCCTAGGGCCCCCCATAGCCTCTTTCTGACCAGTTGCCCAATCCCCTTACTATCTCTGACTTGACAGCTTCCAAAGCTGCTGCTGCCACTGTTGCAGCCTCCAAGGCCCATAGTTGGTGTTAACCACCACATGGGCTACAGACCAGCTCTTATCCCAGTATCACAATTTTCTCTTTATGACCTCCTAAGTTA